TTTAAATTTCGAATCGATATGATTAACAGTTATTGTAAAAAGTTATTTGTTATTTTATTAATTTTCGCAATTAATATTATTTAAAAACCTATGTGAAAAACAAGTACATTTCAACGTGATAAATAAATGTAATAACAATGATGTTTTCAGTCGTACAACGTTAGGAGTAGGTGCAAATTGTAGGTGCCACTTTTCTACAAATTAAAAAAAAAAATTTCCTCTTACTAACTCAGGAGCTTAAATATTTTTTTTAGTTTGATTGTTTTCCCTCGAAAACAAAATATTTTTCTTTGAAATTTTTACAGTGTACACATCGATTGCTTATCTTCCTAATAAATAAATTCTATACAAAATTTGCTGGCCGTTATTGCATAACGACATTAGGAATAGTAATGATTTTCCCATCGATAACGGAGGATTCGCAAGTGATGACGTCGCGATCGCTCTACAGAGGGGGGCAGATATGTTTCTGTTCACTTCAAAAATGAACTAGCCGTAAAAAATTGCATTATCTCGGGAATCATGGGTCGTAGAGCAACGTTTTTTTTTTTCAATCTGGGGTAGCTCGTAAAAATAATTACATCCACAACAATTCTAACTTTCTAAAAATTAGGGCAAAATATTTAATTTAGAATTAACGTTTTTCAATGAACGTAGACATCGTTTTTCTCGCTTTAAGGGAGTTCTATCGGTTACAGGAATAACAATGAGAAATAAATAAAAATTTACTACTAAATTAATAAGGTCTTGAAAATGGCGCTGTCAAAATTTGAAGGCACGAGGGTTCCTACTATCTACCAAACCTACAAAAAGATACAATAACTAGACAACGCCCTTAAAAAAAAGTAACTTGATTTATATGGAAATATCGTTGAAAAAATTCGACTCATAATTTCTAAATTCTAAAATAAAGCCTCCAAAGAACTGGGTAAATGTTTCAACGTCTCATCGTCGGGGAGTCATCGTCATTTCTACTTTCATTTTCAGCTGAATAAATTTGCATACAATCCGTTGGTTTTCAACGACATCGTCAGATTATCTAATTTCAATGATGAATTACTTAGTAAGTGAACGAACAGCTATTACACGTTCGACCTTGGGCTCGCTGGCTGGGATAAATCAATGCTTTCACACCATTTGGTGGATTTTAATCTCCTCAGGATCATCTTTAAACATAATGTATTATCGAATCATCTTCTGAAAAATTAGCATCAAAAACTTGTTTTCATCGCAGTGATATCATAGTATACGTACCACAGATATGTCCAACAGCCTAACGAGTAGAGCGTCAGCCTTGACATTCGTCACTTTGAAATCTTGGGTATTTGTATACAAACATATATACATATGTACCAGTGGGGCTTTTCCCCCATGCGCACAACACCTACGAACTCTGTGTTTGATATTACCAACATGATGTACAAATAATATAAAAATAATACAAAATTTTGTAAAGTTCAAGTCTAATTTTATATTTATTCTGCTTACGAAGAACTTTTAAAGTGTAATTTTTATTAAAACGAATAAGCTCATTTCTTGGGCTTGACATCAAATAAACCAAATACGTTTGGATATTCGCATCGATTTTTAACATCGAATATTAAAATGATGTCCTTATCAAGCTTTAAAATAAAGATTTAAGTATTATCACAAAAACAGGTATTATAATGTAAGGAATTTCTTGAAAACATAGACATAAGGTCAGTCTCTTGGAGACAGATAAATAGTGGCAGAGACTGAGAGTTGAACAAAAAATTGATTAAAAGGCAAGAAATTAAAGACAAAGATAACATGAAAACTACCAACATAAATCTTAAGAAATACATATCGTAAGATAGGGATCCCAAGTTGAACAAAAAATTAGAGATCTTTGAGATGAACCAAAAAAAAATTTAGAACAAACGTACACAAAAATGAAACAAAAGCAAGCACACTCGAATGTATTAAAAAAAAAAAAAAAAAAAAAAAAAAAAATCAAAATATAAAAACAAAGATCATAATCCTTTGGCGTGGAAATAGTCAATTAAAGTACTAATTTAATTGCCTAAAAAAAAATTCCACGAGAAAAAGTAAAAAACATACGGTAAAGGCATGTACAGTGATCAAGATAAGTAAGAAGTCATAGAGTGGCTAGAAAATGTGTAATTAATCAAAAGTAAGGTCAGAAACAGATAAATCTTTCTTTATTTCATAGCTGAACTGTATAAAGGTGTTAGTTAAGGATCACGAAGGGTGTCAAAAATTTGAAACCTGTAAACGTACTCGCACCTTGTACCAACATCAATCTTGCTAACCCCAATTGTACTTGCTTTGCTAAAAGCCATTTTTTTTTGACCCCCATTGTAAAAAAAAAAAAAGTCACGACAGTAAGAGCAAAAGAAAGGTGTGCGCACTACGTAACAACAAGAAACGGCTGTTTTTCACGGTCATAACGTTTTGGTCGGGGAACAATAAACGGAGGCAAAAGCAGGGCGAATTACGGAGATATTGCCGAGGCTGTTTCGACAGTACTACTTTCGAAGATGGAAAAGTACCAAGGAGAAAGAAGCGAGTGGTTCCTTTTGACTTATGCAATAACGAGTACGTGAGTATGATTCGTGGTGAGGGACAAAGCGGTGGAGTAAGAGGTTTCAACGTTTGGACGAAGTGAGTGAAAAAATGGTGACAACCTGGTGCCGAGTTCTATGATGAGTGACAGTATAGTTGAGTCCACGCATGCATGAGAGATGATCAATGGTTTTTTTAGGTGTGGTAAGGGTGGGTTTTTTGAATTGATTTATACATACAATTGCATGAAATGGATGTAAAGGAAGTTGCTCGCTGTTGGTGAGAAAATACCGTAAAATGGAATTTTATTGGGCAACAACGGACAGGAGCTCATTCCAAGTTCGAATATTACGCTCAAAGACTACAGTACCCCCATTCTCTTATCGGATACACGATCTTGGCGAAGAAAGCTAAGATTAAGGACATTTGAATGGACACTGTTAGAGTAGCGTGTTACAACTATTGTAGTAGCTTTAACACACGGTGCTCAATGTGTAAATTAAAATAACTAATTTTTATACTTAAATTTTAAACAGATTAATAATCAAGCAAAAAACAAATTTTCTTTTATCAATCACAAAAGTATTTCGGCAATTTCGTCTATAAAGTATTAACTTGAAAAGGTTTCAACTCACGTTGACTTTAAAAATTTAAGATTTTATGTACAAAGTAGATCTGTGGACTGCAATAAAAGAAAAAAAAGTAAGAGTAAAAAAATGTAGAAGGGATTTCTAATCTGGCATTTGAAGCTTCTGTGTGACAGTGATGTGGAAAAAATTTTATCTGATACTCCACTTTTGGCGCGAAAAAAAATTTTAATTCATGCTAATCTCTTGAGCCACCTAGATCCTACATTTCTTCTTCTAGTCAAGGACATTAAAACATTGACATCGAACTTCTACTTCAAAAATCACGGATAAATTGGAGGTGTTGGACAAAACGTCACTTTGTATTCGTACAAGCCAGACTATCTTTTTTTATGTAACAAAACGAAAGTAAAACTTTCGATGAACCATTTTTTCTGTACACAATAAAAAAAAAAAGAAGAAGAAACAATGAAACACCTATTTTGCTTTCGATTCTTGTGGATCACGTGGAACATCCAAAAGGCTTCCATACCCCGTGAACCACAAAGAAAGTAACTCACCGCAACGAAAATAAAACAAAAAAAAGTAAAGCTCTGCAAGCCAACCGCTCAAATCATCAGCTGCAGCAGCAGTACGAGTATTAAACACATCGGCTGAAAGAAATAAAAAATAAAAAAAAAAAGGAAAACAGGCCAAGCGTTTTTACACGCGAGCCAGTGATGGCCAATATTAAAACACACACACACACTGACCTGCATCCTTTCCTCCTCCCGGGCCCCTCGAAGGTCGTTCGATTATTATACAATAGGCAGACCACGCGACGATCGGTCGGCTGACCCCCTCTCCGAGAGGAAAGAAGAAAACGGGCCCCCCTGTTCACTTCCACCCCCCTCCCTTCCCCTACTAGCTGCTGCTGCCGATTTTTTGGCTCCCTCGGCGTGCGGCACTAGCTCGAAGAGAGCATTCGCTCTTGGGAGACACAGCACGCGAGACGCGCGTGCTTGCCTTATCTCGTCCTTTGCTTTGCACCCTCGGCGTGTTTGTTTGTTTTTTTTAATGCTGTGTATATTGTGGTCTCGGTGCGATGAAGTTTATGACAAAAAATCGGTCATAGCGAGTGTTCCGAGAGCAATTTTTTTTTTTTTTTTTTTCGGAATAGTGGTTTACTAAGAGTATTTTGGGTGTGCACATGTGAGGGGGCTTTTATTGCAATTGTTTTTTTTTAATGTATAGTGGTGTTCTGTATTGAGGACAGTTTTTCGATTTGGATGTGAAAATCGTTGAGGGATTTTTGGGCGCTCTATCTATCGATAGGTATGTTTTTTAGAGGAATAATTGAGAGTTTCTTTTGTTAAGCTGAATTGACGTATACAATGGACTCGAGGCTTTGATGATTTCTTCGTTAAATCGTTTTATTGGATTACGTTTAGGATATTTGTATGTCATGAATTATGTCAAGGAAAAAATTTTTCTCTTTGGTTTTGTGTCACTAAATCATAGTAAACACTGTGATACTCATCGAAAAACTTTCAGTTTTTATGTATTTCTTTTATTTAGCTGGAAAAAATCAATTGATAAATCAGGATTTTGTAGTAGCAAAAAATACTATTGGCTTGTACAGAAGATGTATCGATACAGCAATGAATAAAAAAAACTGGAAATAAGTTGCAATTCATCCCATACTAGCATAATAACGCATGAAAAAAATAAAATAAAATAAAATATAACAAAATATCAAACCTTATTGAGTAAACAAAAAATTTTAACAACTTTTTCAAATCTTAAGTCACACGAATTATGTCACTGTTTTTATGAAATACGTGAGATTTATGCTCGTATGTGCTATCTCTAAAGAAACAGTTCTGAGTGGTATTACCGAATATTCAACCAGTACGACTGGTCTCGTAGCAATACTTTTATCTCTTCCTACATGCATCCAAGCGCTAATAGTGCTAAAAAAAAAAAAAAACTTTTCCACTGAACTTTTTTTATTACCAATACAAATATAACTTTTATCAATCAAACTGATTTAAAAATAAAATAAATAAATTTCCAGCTACAACCGGTATTTGATATGACCAGCCTTTTTTTATCTAAAAACCTACAATGCCCATTAACCCTCTAAAGACCTCAAAGCATCTTGATTGAAACATGTATTAAAAAAGCTGACTTGACTGACGGCTAAACCCGACTTTTTCACGCCACAGGATGAGGAGGAGAGGCGTGCGAGCGCAAGGGAACTCGGCGGTTGAGGTGGTGGCAGCCCCGGCTCTGCTCCTACTGGCATTGGCTCCTGTTATCTGCTCGGCTGGAATTCTGGACCTGCGGCAGTGGGCGCGCAGCGACAGGATCGAGGTCAACATACCCTGGCTGCCCTGTGAGTGTCTCGCCCTCTTTGACTCTCGTTTCTTCTATCCCCCCCTACGCGAGCCATCGCCGGCTTCTTTCCTGGTAGCACTGCTATGTCACGCGTAGATTTTCCAGTCTTTGGTGGGGATGGTTTGGTTTAAATAATTTTAGGTGTTTATTTAAAAAAAAAAAATTTTTTCTTGCTCTTATGTAAATTTTATTTCAAAATGACATTTTAAATTCATTCTTTCGTGTTATAATGACAAACTTTTTACAAGTTTCTTGAAAAGTATTTACTTTTATAAGTATACTTGATACAGGGAAATCGAAATAAAAATTTCAAGTTATATGCTATCGAAATTAATAATAATATTGATGTATGGAATGATATTTTTTTTTTTAATTTAATGGAACAGAGTTTAAGTTAACTGTGTAATTAACTACCAATGGTTTAGTGTGAAATTGGGTGGCTTTTCCAAAAATATTACCTGATTTATGTAATTATGAATAATATTGACATGAAAAAAATTGCTGCCAGTCAATTGACACATGGCTTCCCATAACTTTATTTTTCTGCTTTGTATTTTGAATAGTAATAAAAAATTTCTTCAGAGTTTTGCCAATCTTTTAACAATAAATTTGAAAATTTAATCTCAATTATTATTCACAACAAATTTTTTTATTTTCATGTAACATTCAAATTTTAATTGAAAAACGAAATTTTCACAACCAATTAGAAGTTTTATGAAGGCTATTTATCTTTTAACGTCCACCAAATGAAGGTGCTGTCTTTATTAATATTTTGTTCCTATAAAAATCAAGTATTCAATCGATATTTTTTTATCTGCTTTTAAATCGTTGATTAGTTCACTTTGCTCCTCAATTCGTTGATTTATTTCGGGAAAAAGTTAATTTCTTTGTTTTGAAAGCACACTCTTATTTTGGCAAATGATATAATTTAAAAACGTATTCGAAAAACAGGTACGTTTTAACGTTATAAATAAATAGAATAACTTTTATGTTTCCTGTTGTACAACGTTGGGAGTAGGTGCATATTGTAGGTGCTATCTAAAAATTAAAAAAAAAAGTTGCTCCAACTAACTCAGAAGCTGAGATAATTTTTTTTTTAGTTTGATTGAATCTCTTCGAAAAATATATGTTTTTCTTTGAAATTTGTACAGTGTACACATCGATTGCTTATCTTCCTAATAAATAAATTCTATACAAAATTTGCTGGCCGTTATTGCATAACGACATTAGGAATAGTAATGATTTTCCCATCGATAACGGAGGATTCGCAAGTGATGACGTCGCGATCGCTCTACAGAGGGGGGCAGATATGTTTCTGTTCACTTCAAAAATGAACTAGCCGTAAAAAATTGCATTATCTCGGGAATCATGGGTCGTAGAGCAACGTTTTTTTTTTTCAATCTGGGGTAGCTCGTAAAAATAATTACATCCACAACAATTCTAACTTTCTAAAAATTAGGGCAAAATATTTAATTTAGAATTAACGTTTTTCAATGAACGTAGACATCGTTTTTCTCGCTTTAAGGGAGTTCTATCGGTTACAGGAATAACAATGAGAAATAAATAAAAATTTATTACTAAATTAATAAGGTCTTGAAAATGGCGCTGTCAAAATTTGAAGGCACGAGGGTTCCTACTATCTACCAAACCTACAAAAAGATACAATAACTAGACAACGCCCTTAAAAAAAAGTAACTTGATTTATATGGAAATATCGTTGAAAAAATTCGACTCATAATTTCTAAATTCTAAAATAAAGCCTCCAAAGAACTGGGTAAATGTTTCAACGTCTCATCGTCGGGGAGTCATCGTCATTTCTACTTTCATTTTCAGCTGAATAAATTTGCATACAATCCGTTGGTTTTCAACGACATCGTCAGATTATCTAATTTCAATGATGAATTACTTAGTAAGTGAACGAACAGCTATTACACGTTCGACCTTGGGCTCGCTGGCTGGGATAAATCAATGCTTTCACACCATTTGGTGGATTTTAATCTCCTCAGGATCATCTTTAAACATAATGTATTATCGAATCATCTTCTGAAAAATTAGCATCAAAAACTTGTTTTCATCGCAGTGATATCATAGTATACGTACCACAGATATGTCCAACAGCCTAACGAGTAGAGCGTCAGCCTTGACATTCGTCACTTTGAAATCTTGGGTATTTGTATACAAACATATATACATATGTACCAGTGGGGCTTTTCCCCCATGCGCACAACACCTACGAACTCTGTGTTTGATATTACCAACATGATGTACAAATAATATAAAAATAATACAAAATTTTGTAAAGTTCAAGTCTAATTTTATATTTATTCTGCTTNTATTTATAAATATTTGTTGTACATAACATTTAATAATAAAAAGATTAATGAATAACTACGCAGCATTTTTTTGTAGGAGATACTAAATTCGGCATTCATGATCAACACTTATTGGTTTATTTATTTGTTTTTTTTATTAAAAATCTAAAATTATGCAGAAGGAAAAAAAAATTCTTGTCATTACATAGAACCATTTTCCTAAATTCTTCTGTACTCTTCAGTGACACACTTTTGTTTCCTTATTAGAAAGATATTCACAATCATAGCACTGAAAAAATGCTAGCAATTATATTTACCGATGAAACGTCGGTCGCTATTTCTCACACGGGATAATTACCATTGACATTAGAGGAACAAGAATCTCATTATTCATTTTACTGTGAATCATAATAATGATTTGAGCGCAATGAACATTCGGTCACGCTTGTACACTTGCACTCTCGTACTTCTAAAACGGGGTCAGCTGCACACTGCTGCACTTGCGAAATTAAGAATTATATCCAAAACAAGAGAAAAAAATGTGAAAGTGCATCGAGCGTCATTTTATGGATATTTAAATACACCTCAAAATAAAATTTTTTTCGAAAATGTAATGCACTATTGTGGGTGGAAATTATTAATTTTTTAGTTACTACTTATAATGCAGTGCTTATAAAATTGTCGGTTGCAAAAACCATTTGACATGTTTTTTCTAAAGAAATAAACTAATAATAAAGTACAAAGAGTAATATTGTAAGACTTGACTGTTATAATTTTCGTTCAGTACTGGGGTTTAATTAGTGATGAAAAAAAAAAAAAAAAAAAAAAAAAAATTTCTATAAAATAACACATTATATTATTGTATGAAAAAGTAACATCGCAAAGTATTGGAAAAAGCACTAAAGCCCAAGTCTGAGTGTTGGTGGTAAAAAATGAGAGAATAAAAAAAATCTCCACAGTCGAGAACGAGACGAGATGCTATGACGAGCTCGGCTGCCTGAACATCACCAGGAGCTGGTACCATCTGATCTACCGGCCGCTCAACGTCTTTCCGCTACCACGCGAGGTCATCAACACGAGATTCATACTCTACACGAATGACAATCCTACCGAAGTGAGTTATTATTATTATTATTATCATTATTTCTATTTTTATCTTCCTTTTTCTACTCATTTTCGGACATTTGGATTCTTTTTACCGCTAAGCCTTTTGTACACACGCTCTTATGTATAGGATCAACGTCGCAACGGTTAGTCGCTTGATACCTTTACGTAACGGAAGAGTCTGTTTATCCGTGCGTGCAACGTATTACGAGTTCCCTATTTGATACTAACGATTATGTACGTGTAATGCCCACGACGAATATTAAATTAGCCATCGAGCGGCTGAATTTAATAATATATTGCACACACGCGGGGTATAATTGAGGTGAACGTTTTTTCATTACTCGCCCGAAAGCCCGAGTTTACCTATACACACGTGAGCGTATGAAATAATTTACCAAGGGGCTCTTATCGGCGTCCAATCGGCATGTAAATCGATTCATAACTCCCACTCAGAAAATACGTTCGGATCGATCTACCCCGTCTTGCACGTATTCATTTGCACGCACGTGCATCATCCCGAGTACTCGTAAATCAGACGCGCTCGACGATTCCATACCGATTATTTTCTTGGAAGCGCGCGATAGCACCGTATCTCGTGCTCGTTACTTGTGATGATAAATCTCGTATTCTCATGCTCGTAGAGTTTGCTTTTTTCCCTCACTCGTAGCAAAAGTGAAGTTTTCACCGAAGAGGTTGAAGTTTTATTGCAGGAAGAGGCTCTGTTTTTCATTTTTTTTTTTTTTTTCTTCGTTTCTTCCTTCATTTTTCTCAGCAACGAGATCAAGAGCTTAGCGCTCGGACTTTCAAAATTAATTAACGATCCCCACACTGTAAATGCGAGATGTGGAAATGATCAAGATCGCGTCTGAATAATCGTTTAATTAACGATCGAGTTTCCGATTACTGTGAAAAACGTACGAGCTGCAAAAGTTTTGGGTTTTATTAATTTAATTTTTTCTTTTTTTCTTTTGTACACATTGAAAGTGAATTTTCTTTTTTTTTGCGGATTTGGTTGGATTATGAGATTGTTGATTTAGTGGTGTGCCTTCGTCCACTTTCGCTGGTCGTACGGTTGGAAGCAAAAATTTATGCGTGAGAATGTACCATTGTGGAGTTTTTAGTAATTCGGGTCATATCGTCTGGTAAGAGAAAAACAGTTGTCTGTGAACTAAATGCTGAGAAATTTTGTGGTTTAGTGGATTCTAGAGAAAAAAACAACTACATTATCTAAATCGACAAATACCGATTAACCTCGGAATATCGTTTTTTATCAACTTAGGTTACCCTTTTTTCATCTTTTAATCGAAAACATTTACTGCTCATGACTGTTATAGACGAGTTCTTACATTCCTTAGAAATTAATCGAATCATCGGTCTCTACTTGGCAAAGTTAACAGTTTTCATGAGGATGATTGGGATTTTTACCTTTTTTTGGATTTCATACGAGTTCCTACAATCCTTATCACTTAGTTGACGATCGGTATTTTGAGTATCCGTCAAGTTGCCACCATTCTTTGCACTTGGCGAAATTTTTTTGACTAATCTGAGATTTCATATTGCTTAGGACTTTGCTTAATCGTACCTCTTCAAATTTCTAGTAGAGAACTAATTTTTCTCAGCGACCGGTTGAGTTTTCACCTTTCTTGACGCTAATCCGATTTATTGACTTTTTAACCCTCCAAATGTCATATGTCTTATTTTTCAATCGACAAATAACTTTTGAGCATTTGATGAAGTTGTCACCTTGCTTGGAACGCCGCTGGGCTGTTGACTTTCTTTAGCCAACTAATAAAACAAAACCATTGTTTCAAACAGGATCCAAAAATCTACTTTTACAGTAGTGGTTTAATGCATCTCTAACTTATTCTTTTCTTATAATTTATTTACAGACATTTGGATCAGAAAAACTCTTACTAATACTCTTCTTGAAGAGATATCACGCCAAAAGGAATTAACAGTTGGTTTTTATTAATAATTCGGTACATACGTCAATAAAGAGATGAACAAAATTTAGGCAAAATTTCAAGATTTCTAGTTCCCTCTGAATCGAAAAATTAATATTTATTTATTTTCTGGATCCTAATGACACTATGTTTAATCAAAATTAAACAATAATTTTTTATTCACAACTATTGTATTTTAGCTAAAGTTTTAAGGATATGAATTCGTTCTTCCGTTGGATGCAGTATTGCAGTGCATACCGCTAAAAAAGAAGCTGTAAAAAATATATCGCACATGAAGTAAAAAGTAACAACTATCGTAGAGAATAAAAAAAAAAATCTTATCTATTGATACAAACGTTCTTCACTAAACTGACCAAATCACATTTCAGGGCCAAGTCCTAATTGTAGGAAAGGACAAGTCTATCAAGCGCTCGAACTTCAGTCCGAAGCGGAAGACCAAGTTCATCATACACGGCTTCATAGACACTCCGCTGAGCAACTGGGTAAAGGTGAGCATAGACCACACACTCGCCAGCGTACAAATTAATCATCCCTTCCTGAAAAAAAAATTTAACGAATCAAATAATACATCGGTTGTCGACAAGAAAATCGAGTTTTTCGGTCCACGAACTCCCTCGAACTTCCTTTCGGGCAGCGCATTCACTTCCTCGGATATTTTTCGCGGCCGGCATCGTTAACTCACGCAAAAACAGAATCCGCGAGTGTTGACTTTGTCCTATGCCTACTTGCTCGTGTATGTAAGTGTATACACCCGTCACACGGTCCCACCAGACGCGGAAGTGCGCCACACGGCGCTGCAATTCCAGCATAATGATCGCGAGAGGTGTGCGATTATGGGTTGTACGCGTGTGTGTGCGGGTATACTCTCTTGCACCCATACGATGCAAATTGCCGTGCTCGGCCGGATAAGAACGTGGGTATCGAGAAAAAAAAGGAATTTTTTGTTTCCCTCCCTCTCGTCTGCGTATGGAGTACATCTAATTTACCGCGCGTTCGATAGTGCCCGTCGGGTTTTACGAGGCTTATTTCCTTACTGCAAGGGTGCCCATTATAGTTGGGTCATTAGGAGGTTCGAGAGGGAAAATTAATTTGACGAGATGAGATTGTAAGTCGATTGCTCTGGCGACGAGAGCGCCAATATGGGGTCTCATTTGGGAGGAGTTACGTGCAGGATCGGTGGTCCCGAGCTTTTATGGTTTTTGCGTGCGAGGTACTTTCTAGGACACGGTGGAAAATGCTTTTTTTTTTCAAAAAAATTTTAAAGCAGCAGTAAAAACCAAAGCAGCGCTGGCGCTGTAAAACCGTGCTAAGTTTCGTGAATTTCTCGAGATTGTAGGCACACGCGCGTGATATTTGTACCGTTCGATTCGCGATCGCGCAAAATCGGCCCGGAGCGATCGGGCGCGGTGGAAACATACATAACGTGCGCTGCTCTCTCCGATACCCACCGCCTAAGGATGAGAAAGTCGGCTCTCATTTTCTTTCGGGTATACATGCCCGAGCGTCGGGGCTCGCGTGTGTTTTTCCGTGGCTTATCTCAATTGAGCTCGAGGACACGATACAGCGCGAATGTTTTCCGTAATCGTGGATATTATTTAGCAACCGAGTATGACCCTCGGTGGTGGTGGTGTTTTGGCTTGTGTTGGGTTGCGTCACCGATGGGAGCTCGGAAGGTTTCTGATTCCTTGGAAATAAATGATGATGATTTTTGACAAGCATTGGTTCGTTTGATTTACATCGTATTACGGGGTTTGGGAGGATTTTTTTTTTTTTTTTTTTTGCTTATAAAATAGAAATATAATCAAGCAGAAGTGTAATAAATTTCGCAAAGGCGAACGCTCGAGCCAGCTTTTTTACATTTTATCCTTAGAATCTTAAATCTAAGAAAAGAAATAATAATAATCACTTTTCTATTTCGTCAGAGAAAAAGAAGAAACATTCCTTAATTTTTCGTAATAATACCAGCACCTGAAGTGAAAAAAAAAAAAAAAAAAAAAAAACAATTTTGCGTAACTTTTTCACCAGTAACCATACTTGTTCTGTAATTGACTGGCGTTGACGTCCTTTAGCTGAAACTTAAAAATGCTCGTGATGATGATAAGTGACTGCCATAATTGCAGGAAATGAGAAACGAGTTGCTCATCCACGGTGACTATAACGTCATAATTGTTGATTGGGCGGGAGGCAGTTTGCCTCTTTACACCCAGGCTACTGCTAACACGAGGCTCGTCGGTCTCGAAATTGCACACCTCGTCAAACATCTGCAGGTAAGTCTTAAGAAATAATAAGAAATCGTCATTTTTTTATTTACTTTTTTTTTTCTTTTTCTTCTCCACCTAAAAGTCATAAAACTGATTGGAGGAGTCTTTACAAAACAAAACTTTCTAAAAAAATTGTTTTCAATCAAAGTTTCACCAAAAAAATTCCATTCCAAAAATATTTTTCTAAATATTACTATCAATTTTTTTAAATTATGCAAACGAAGAAAAACTATCCCCACAAAATATGTAATTTGTTGCTTTTTCAGAATGGGTCATTAATTTTTTTTTTTTTAATTTTTGCTATTCTTGGAGCAATCTCCTAGTAATAATGTAGTTTTTGCAAAGCAAAGATAAGCGATCTTACAGGTCATTAATTAAGCGGAAAATCTTCAAATTGAAGTAAATTTAAGTACCCACTTACGGTAGTTCCAGCACCCTTAGTGATAAAATTAAAAAAAAAACCAATCAAGCTAAATTAAATAAAATAATTCTTTTTAATCTTTTACCTTTTATTTGGTAAAGAAAAAGTATTAGGTAATTACAAGAAATTCATGTATAAATATTTAATAAGTACTATATGTTGTATGATTTATTAACCAAAATGCAGAAAAAGTAAGCGAATTGTAAAACTATTGCATAAGCTTTTTTTCGGACAAAATAGTAGTTTTCGTCGGATAAGTGCTTCGTAGGTCCCTTGGGCCGCAAAATAGGCCCGGAGACGATTATGTGGCGAATGCTATTTTTCCTACCAAGGGCACACCAGCCTCTCAAAAACGCCCGAGGTAGGAAAAGTAAGAAAAGGACAAGAGGCAAAGAAATAGATAATCGACAAAATAACTGCTGTATAGATAAGAAGTATTTAGAATATTATCTACTTATTTAGAATCAATGAGTCCTTATTTCTTCGTATGCACCTCATGAAATATATATTATACCTGTTATAATTTTTAAATGGAAAATAAAATTCAGGGCAAAAATTTTTTGTAATTTTTTTTGGAAAAGCCATTTCCCTGTAACCTAAGAATTTTAAAAATATTATTTGGTTTTCATGGAAGACTATCTAAAAATTATGTTAATCCATAAGAGCCCCAAAAACTAAAATAAATTTTTATCACATATTTTGGGAACATACATTTTTGTCTTCAACGCACCTTTAATGATAAAATAATATTTATGAACGTGCCAATATTGAGTGGAAGGAGTAAATTTTCCACTAACTTAAATTTTTTTATTAAATTTTAGACGAAATCAGAAAAAAACTTGTGGTTTCTTGAACATTGTACATTAAAATGTTGTCATTCAAAATCCAATTATGATTAATTTCAAAAAAAAATACATAAATAAACTACATTCCAGACAAATTACGGGCTGGACCCGAGCGACGTGCACTTGATAGGGCACAGCCTGGGCGCACACACGGCCGGGTACGCTGGCGAAAAGCTCAACGGAACCATAGGCCGTATAACTGGTCTCGATCCGGCTGAGCCTTACTTCCAAGGGATGCCCAGTCATTTGCGACTCGATTACACGGACGCCCAGCTCGTGGACGTTATTCATACTGACGGCAAAAGTATTTTCTTCATAGGTATACCAACAGGTCATTTTACATCTTTTACATATGAACGTACCCCTTAGTTTTTCTATTTTATATTTTCTAATTACGCGATTCGAGCCAATTTATTCGTTATATTTGATCATTCTATACCAAGTGTTTGGTTTGGTTTTGAGTCAACTTAAAGTGCCAATTTGAAAAATAGTAGAAACTAAGAGAAACAAGAATCAAAAGCACATCGAAGAAAATGTAATTCATACGAGTGACAAACGCAACTTTTTTCTATTGAAGTTACAATAAATACCCAAAGGTAAAAAAGATAGCGCCCAAAGTAGAAAAGATATTTTTTTCCCAAAAAAATCCAAAACCTTGGAAGTTTTTTTTGTAAATTTCACAGTAAGCTTAAAGCATTTTTGATGAACAAAAGTAAGAGTAAAAAACGGAAGTAAATATCATTTAAATTTTCGAGAACTTTTTTTCAAAGACAATGTAAATATTTTCGTGATAAAACTTAATACAGACAGAAGTCAACTGAGACTCTTGCCGATCGTATTTTCAGGTCTCCCAGGCTACGGGATGAGCCAGCCGTGCGGTCACCTGGACTTTTACCCGAACAACGGTAAAGAGCAGCCGGGGTGTACCGACCTTAGCGAGACAACGCCGTCCCTACCCCTGACGCTGATCCGCGAGGGTCTCGAGGAGGCATCCCGAGTCTTGGTTGCCTGTAACCACGTACGAGCCATCAAACTCTTCACCGAGAGCATCAATAGCAAGTGCCAGTACGTCGCGCACGAGTGCGGAAGTTACTCCAGCTTCCTCAGGGGTGAGTGCTTCTCGTGCAAGAGCAACAACAGTCTCAGTTGCGGCGTCATGGGCTACCACGCGGACAAGAGTCCCGCCCTCGTCAAAAGGCAACAGATGGGCATGGACATGTCGACGCTACTAGGGGCCAAATTTTTCTTCGCCACTGGCAAGGACGAGCCGTATTGTAGTGAGTTCGGTTTTGGTTGTTTTACTTTTTTTGTTTAACGTGACAAGGTTTTTGGAATTGAAAATTCAACAACTTTGGTCAAAGACATGGTCTTCTTCAATACGTGTTTTGTGTTTTCCACAGTTATCGTCATCTTTCGTTTGTATATACTAACTTGTAATGGTACGCTTCTTCCTTGATTGGCTCATTTTTCCTTGAAGTTGAGAAAGTCCGTTCTGTACAAAATTTTTTCTCTCCATCTTTGGTGCGATGTACTTGCCCAATTTTACATTATTTGCTTTATTTGTACATTCATAGACCAAATAACAATTAGATTTTTATGGTATACAGAGTTTTTCTCGTAATATTTAAGGTGTAATAATACAAGAAAAAGTTTAGTATCCACAAGTAGTGAAGAGTGTATGAGGGTTTATTCCTTAATAATCAGTGCAACCTGTTTTTAATGTGTTTCTCTAATGATGCTATAAGGGGCTGTGCTGATTTAGTACTGTAGATTATCGAGGTTTTCCATCAACGTAGATTCAGCGAAATGTAGTTTACATATCGTCCTTACAAACAGTTGTTTTTCTGTGCTGGTTTATTGTAATATTATTTTTATTACTTTGGAATCATTTATCGGTTATCCTAGAAGCTTTCCACTCATTGGACATAATTTTAACATTAAAAATTGTCTATGCTTTGATAATTTAGTCTTTTGGTATATGGATAAGGATATCATAATCAGGATGCGGACATCATCCATGTACCTGAAATGCAAAGTACTACAAAAATCTAGTTCACGGAAACACTTTCTATTTAGAAATCGCATGGCTAAAAATCTACCAAACCGACAATTTGCGTATAAATCGGCAAGTTAATTTTAAAATATCAGATCTACTTCACAAAAGTCGTCGTATAATTATTTTGTTTTAAATCTTGTATGATAAGAGGCATATTTTAGTAAATAAATTAGTACGATATTCGATGAAAATCGCGATTTTTCTTGACAAACATGTTTTGAACTATTGACAGTTTCTCTGAGTTAAGATAAATTAAAGAAAATCAATGTTGGCATGTTTAAAGTAAAGCAAACAACAAATACAAGGACAATTCTTTTATTTTGTTGTTGAAGAAATCCTTAAACAACATAAATCATAAAAAATTTCTAATATTAACAACTAGCTCTGGATTATAATCAAGCTACTAAAAATAAATATAAAATTGTTCTTATTTCATTTATTTCCATAAGCAATGTAAGGACTTCTGTATTTTTTATATACTCTTTTTCAGGACGACACTACAGGATAACCATAAACCTTGCCAGGCCACCCACTGCCGAGAGCTGGGTACAAGGATACATGAAGGTCACTTTGCACGCGGAACATGGTGTGATACGCAACATGGATCTGACTCCCAGGTAAATTGCCATCGGATTCTATACTCATTTTTGAAGCAATATCATCTGACTCCCGTCGATAATCTAAAAATCTCCCCAACGACTCGAGCACCTACTTGTTTTTCTTCACTTTGGTTAAAATGACTACGGGTGGAATCCAGAAAGTACAACGCGATTTCTCAGAACAAAACACCATCAATCCCAAAATTAGTATTCGTCCATTCCCTCGGATCAAATTTGGTGCGTGAAAAATACGTGTTTCTTAAAAATCTGAAACAATGATCCAATGAAACGCAACCTATTGTATCCACTGCACCTGCATGCATCTCACATACTAACCCAAACGAATCGATAACCATCCAATGACCCATAGTGGCTACATGAAACTGGAACACGGGACGACAACTCGCATGGTGGTGGCGCACCCAGGGGGCTCGATCGGCGACATCGGTAAGGTCCGAAGGGTGGAGCTGTCCTGGGCGTACGACATGGACGTGCTGCAGCCACGGTCCCTCTGCTTCTTCTGGTGCAACGACCGGTTGTACGTCAACAGTGTCGTCGTCGACATGATGGAACTGCCCGGCAGGGGGTAAGGGATGTCATTGGTGGTGGGAAATCAGTATGGAAAATCAAGCGTGAATTTTGTGTCCCACCAACAGGAAACGCGAGGCTGACTTCTCGAGCAAGCTGTGCTCGGCGAGCAGGCAGGACTTTGCTGAGATAGCGAGTGGCTCGACGTCTTCGTTCATCGACAGCTGCTGACGATCCCAAAATCGCTGTCATCGCGAACGGATCGGCGCTGCAAATGGCATCTGGTCAAGATGCCGATGAGATGGTGCGTGTACATGGACGAGTAGGCCTTACGAGGATGAATGGTTAATCGTCGTCGCTCGTCTTTGTACATCTTGTAGTATTAATGTGATCCGCGTACCCTTAAACAATTGTTTTTGTAAATCTTGTAAATAAGACGAATCAACTCGTTTTTGCGACTTCTCGCATTTACTTTGTACGTTTACCTCTCTCTTGGATTTTCCGGACGCGAGAGAACCTTAAGTGGTAATCACCAATGAGAAAGGTCATTGATCATTCAGAGTACATTGTATATAAAGTACTGTGGAAGTATTTTTGCATACTCATGATTATCGCAATTGTTTTGGTTATGAAAACCACTTAAATGTCCACTGTTGTAAAAGGCAAAGTATGACAAACACGTTGTTTGTTGGATTTTCGTATGACAACTGGATGAGAAAGAATTCATATGGGAGTACAAAAGCTGTTATTGTGATTCCAGTATTCAAGTCACCAGAGCAGCTTTGGTGGTTGAAAAAATATTTTTTTTATCTCGTTATGAGATTTTACGTATTTAATAATGATAGGACCATTTAAGAAATACGATGCTTAAAATTTCCTTAAACACGCGTCTGTGTGATTGCAGAAAATATGTTCTAATCAAAGAACATATGGCAATGAAGAATTTATGAATGAAACATAGCAATCTACTTGTAAAAATTTTAATACGTTAGTACATATAACATTAACTTCCTCAAATATATACCTCCCATTGTAAGTCTCACACATATATTGATAATATCTAATTTTATTCGACTAAATTACAGGCGTCCGGGTGGTAACTAAAATTTTATGTATGTCCACTTTGGATGTTTTTGTTCGTAATTTCATACTCATATATTGGGTTAAAAAATCGTGAATACGAGTTTTAGTCGATGAGACATACTTTTTGCCAGCTCTGTACAAAAGAGTCTGACTAAACAAAGGTGTAAAAGCGACCTAAGCGATTTTGCTTCCTTAGAGAGTAAATGGACATAAATCACATGCTCAGGTAACATAAAATACACTCGTGTTTTACAAAGTTTAGAATATAAATAGAGTACTCTGGCTAAGGTGTTTGTTCTTATATGTATGTGTACGTGTGTGTTTATGTATGTGTACTTCTGAACAGTAAAATTTTTATTCCTTCCATTGGTTTTTTTACAAATTTGTTTTTGTCGATTTCGAAAAAAAAAATTTATAAAAAAATTATTTTTTTGGCTCTTTCTCAGCATTTTAGGATATTACATGGTTAAGAATCAAAAAATCGTTGAATATTTTACAAAAAGTGTTATTAAGATTATAGAATAAAATATGGGGATGTGTGTGGGTGTTTATATGCATACGTATATAATTGATCATATCTCAGGATTTCCTCGACCGATTAACGTAAGCCTTAGCCTATTTGCTTTATTGCTTGATTCTTACAAGCATTATAAAAAAAAATTCAATTTCATCGATTTTTTTTTTATTTCAGTGTTATCGATTCACAAAAACAATTTTTTTTTTAATTGATTCAAAATAAAGAGCATTTTAAGCTAACAGAGATACGATTACTTTATTTTTCGAATCTCTAAAGTAGCGTAAACTCGTTAGAAAATTTGTGATATTCTTTTTTGATGTGCAATTAAAAGCAACCAAAATCCTAGGAACATCTCCTTCATGGCATATAGCTATCTCATAGTTTTTGTCTACAAAGTCCTATCTATTGCATTACTTTTTATATGTATTAAATATATTTACTTAACATGAAAATACTAAAGAGAGAATTAATTTTTAAGTGTTTATTATTTTGTATTTACAAGACAATTGAAGAAATAATGTTGATAAATCTTAGAAAAGCTTTTTAGCGAAAAACAACAGCGAATGATGTTTTTTTTTTAATACATATTATATTATACATATTATGTAATATACCAATAAAATATGAGAATTATACAAAGAACTTTGTGTAATAATTTTTTTTTTAACTTTAAAATTTTCCATTAATAAAAGGGCAACTAATATATTATGAAAACTCGTAAATAACATTTTATACACCATATTAAATCTCTGGAAAGACAATTAACAATAGATTTTTTGATGATTGCTCACACAAGACAAGTAGTGGAGCTAGAAGGGTTCTGGTTCACTTTTCTGACAGCCAGACTAACCCAATATTATTCCGTATTATGGTAGTGTATTAAGAAAAAATGGCCAGTAAACAACAATTTAATATTTATAAAACAAAATTTAACGGTATGTTTAAGTTACTTGAACATGATCGATAAAATTCTGGAAAAGATAATATTTTTAAATCAAATACAGTATCAAATGGAGCCGATGTCACTTGGCATTGGGGACGTGCAAATTATCTATCAATCTGTTATTTTTCTCGGTCACTTTGAATGTTTCTACTATTTATAGTAGAAGTGAATTACAAATATTTTTATTAGTATTCATTTTTATACAATTAAACTCACAAAATAATAATCAAAAAGAGATTATTTATAACAGAAATTTGATTGCTAGGTTCAGTATATAATAACTTGTTACCCATAGTTTATGTAAAATATAATTAAAGAAATGACAACAATAAGATTTAGTAATACTATAAAATATTGTGTGTGATATATTCAGCTATAAATTGTTTTATACCTCAAAAATTTCTTCAGTCCGCATCACTTATAATATATTAAATGCTTAAGAATAAGAATACGGGTAGGATAAAAAATTTATTTAAACTCCTTTTTTTATAAACTGTATCTATGTTTTTTATTTACACACAAAAATTAAATATAAATTGTTATTTGAGGTGCATTATGATGTTTTCTGGTTTTTATGATATTTATAAAATATCATTTAATGATAGTATTATTATAAAATTGTCTGTATTCAGTGAATATAATAACTAAGAGTGATATTATTACTGAAAAATTATTGTTCACAAAATATTATTTACAAGTCAACAAATGATACCACAATATTGGTGCATAACTCTCATAATTTTTTTGACTGATAATATTTAATTTCAATGGTGTTATTTCTTTTAAAAAAACTATAACCTTTTTTTGTACAAAACATTATTTATTTAATAAGCAAAAGTTTGTTACATATTTCATAAAATCTGAATTTTCTGATACGTTATAATTTTACTATTTCTCAAGAAGGTCCATAAGAAATTTTAAATCAAAATATTACGTAGAAAATATTAACAAGGACTTTTGGTAAAGTAACGTCACATCACCATATGGCTTCTGGATAATATTTTCTTACGTTATATTAATGACTGTTAAAATTGTTTGATGGCCTTGGAAGCCCTTAAGCTCTAATTATGTAATAGCTTATTACAATCTAGTGTCTAATATACTTTCAGTAAATTGCATCTAAAATGATTAATTTTAATCTAAAATTTTGAATAGTCATTCTTGAGTGGTTATAAAATGGTTTAAAAAATAACGTACGAAAAAATTTTGGTTTTTTTAAATTTGTAACATAGGTTTATATTAAATTATGTAGAAATTATGTTTAATTATAAATAAATAGATCCAGACTT